GGAGGGCAGATTACACTAAGAATGGGAGAGTCATGTTTTAGCACTAGTTTCCTTTATATCCAGTGATCCATTACTTTATAAAAAAAAAAAAAAAAAAAAAAGGTAGAGGCAAGATCATTATTTTATCAACACTCAGACATGAGCATAAGACTACTTCAGAACATGATGTTACTAAATACCAAAATTTAGGTCACTTCTTTACTACATTAAAAGAACTCCAGGGGGGAGGGGGGAGATTAAAAAAAGAAGTGTCAACCACTTAAAGCAACCCCCTTGTCACATGATGTTCACCTAAAGACAACTTACTGACATCATTGTGACAAAGCAAAACCTTATCTACTGTGACCAAAAGATCAGTTTCAATATGGACCATCTCCTAAGGACTGAACGGGGAGAAGAGTAGATGAATTCAGTGCATACAAATTTTCATTTTAAAAAACTAAATAGAGCAGCCCAAATACATCAAGATCTATTCACATTTAATTGACAAGGAGATAGAAGATGGGACTGGTACAACTCACAAGACAGGGCTCTATTCCTAGTTCTGATGCAGGAGAAGTTCGCCAACTCACACAGTGAAGGAGCATAGGCTATAATAGAGAACAAGGAGGGACATGGCAGAACAGGGAGGCAAGATCAAATCAGCATCTTAGATGCCTATATACAAATGCAAGAAGTATGGGTAATAAGCAGGAAGAACTTGAAGTGCTAATTAATAAACACAATTATGACATCGTTGGTATCACAGAGACTTGGGATAACACATGATTGGAATATTGGTATAGAAGGGTACAGCTTAGGAAGGATAGGTGGGGAAAAAAGGTAGGCGGTGTTGCCTTATCTATTAAAAATGTATACACTTGGACTGAGGTGGAGATGGACATAGGAGACAGATGTGTTGAGAGTTTCTGGGTTAGGTTAAAAGGGATAAAAAACCAAGGGTGATGTCATGCTAGAGGTCTACTACAGACCACCTACCCAGGTTGAAAAGGTGGATGAGGCTTTTTTTTAAACTAACAATCATCCAAAGTGCAGGATTTGGTGGTGATGGGGGACTTCAACTACCCAGACACATATTGGGAAACTAACACAGTGAGGAACAGATTATCCAGTAAGTTCTTGGACTGCGTTGAAGACAATGTTTTATTTCAGAAGGTTGAAAAAACTACTAAGGGGCGAAGCTATTTTAGATTTGATTTTAACAAATAGGGAGGAACTAGTTGAGAATTTGGAAGTGGAAGGCAGCTTGGGTGAAAGTAATCATGAAATCATAGAATTTATGATTCTAAGGAATAGTAGAAGGGAGAATAGCAAAATTGAGACAATGGCTTTCAGGAAGGCAGATTTTACTAAACTCAGACCTGGTAGGTAAGGTCCCACAGGAAGCAAGACTAAGAGGAAAAACAACTGAAGAGAGTCGGCAGCTTTTCAAAGGACATTATTAAAGGCCCAAAAGCCAACTATTCTGCTGTGTAGGCAAGATAGAAAGTATGGGAGGAGACCACCTTGGCTTAACCAGGAGATCTTGCATGATCTAAAAATCAAGAGGGTCATAAAAGTGGAAATTAGGACAAATTACAAAGGATTAATATAGGCAAACAATACAGGTATGCAAGGACAAGATTAGAAAGGCAAAGGCACAAAATGAGCTCAAACTAGCTACAAAAGGAAACAAGACAACTTTCTATAAGTATATTAGAAGCAAGAGAAACACCCAGGACAGGGTAGGCCTGTTGCTCAGTGAGGCGGGAGAAACAGTAACAGGAAACTTAGAAATGGTAGAGGTGCTTAATGACTTCTTTTTTTGGTCTTCACCAAGAAGTCTGATGATGAAGGAATGCCTAATATAGTGAATGCTAGTGGGAAGGGGGTAGGTTTAAAAGATAAAAGAAAAAAAGAACAAGTTAAAAATCACTTAGAAAAGATGTCTGCAAGTCACCAGGACCTGATGAAATGCATCCTAGAATACTCAAGGAGCTGATAGAGGAGGTATCTGAGCCTTTAGCTTTCATCCATGATTTTTTCAAAGAAGACAGCAGAGGTTCCAGAAGACTGGAAAAGGGCAAATATAGTGTCCATCTATAAAAAAAGGAAATAAGAACAACCCAGGGAACTACAGACCAGTCCGTTTAACTTCTGTGTCAGGAAAAGTAATGGAGAAATGGAATTCATCTGCAAACACCTGGAAGACAATAAGATAAGAGGTAACAGCATAGATTTGTAAAGAACAAATCATGTCAAACCAATCTAACAGCTTTCTTTGATAGGATAATGAGTGTTGTGGATAAGGGAGAAGTAGTGGACATGGTATACCTAGACTTTAGCAAGGCATTTGATACAGTCTCACAAGATCTTATCAATAAACTAGGCAAATACAGTAGCCCCATGTAAGTTGTAAGGTGAATGCATAGACTCAGACTCATAGACTTTAAGGTCAGAAGGGACCATTATGATCATCTAGTCTGACCCCCTGCACAGTGCAGGCCACAAAATCTCACCCACCCCTCCTAGAATAATCCTCTCACCTATATCTCAGATATTGAAGCCTTCAAATACTTTGAAGACCCCAAGATGCAGAGAATCCTCTAGCTGTGATCTGTACCCCATGCTACAGAGGAAGGCGAAAAACCTCCAGGGCCTCTGCCAATCTACCCTGAAGGAAAATTCCTTCCCGCCCCCAAATATGGCGATCGGCTAAACCCTGAGCATGTGGGCAAGACTCATCAGCCAGACACCCAGACAGTTCTCTATAGTAACTTCTATCATCCCTCCATTGACCTATTTCCCACTGATAATGAATGGTCAATTAGTTACCAAGATCATGTTATCTCATCAAACCATCCCCTTCGTAAACCCATCTAGTTTAATCTTGAAACCAGATAGATCTTTTGCCCCCACTACTTCCCTTGGAAGGCCGTTCCAGAACTTCACTCCTCTAATGGTTAGAAACCTTCGTCTAATCTCAAGTCTAAACTTCCTACTAGCCATCTTCAGCAAGTCACCAGGTCCTGATGAAATGCATCCCAGGATACTCAAGGAGCTGATAGAGGAGGTATCTGAGCCTTTAGCTATGATCTTTGAAAAATCATGGCAGACAGGGGAGATTCCAGAAGACTGGAAAAGGGCAAATATTGTGCCCATCTATAAAAAGGGGAATAAGAACAACCCAGGAAATTATAGACCGGTCAGTTTAACGTCTGTCCCAGGGAAGATAATGGAGCAGGTAATTAAGGAAATCATATGCAAACACTTGGAAGGTAATAAAGTGATAGGGAATAGCCAGCATGGGTTTGTGAAGAACAAGTCATGCCAAACTAATCTGATAGCTTTCTTTGATAGGATAACGAGCCTTGTGGATAAGGGAGAAGCGGTGGATGTCATATACCTAGACTTTAGTAAGGCATTTGATACGGTCTCGCATGATATTCTTATTGATAAACTAGGCAAATATAACTTAGATAGGGCCACGATAAGGTGGGTGCATAATTGGCTGGATAACCGTAGTCAGAGAGTTGTTGTTAACGGTTCTAAATCCTGCTGGAAAGGGATAACAAGTGGAGTTCCTCAAGGGTCTGTTTTGGGACCCGTACTGTTCAATATCTTCATCAATGATGTAGATATTGGGATAGAGAGTACTCTTATTAAGTTTGCAGATGATACCAAACTGGGTGGGTTGCAAGTACTTTGGAGGATAGGGTCATAATTCAAAATGATCTGGACAAACTGGAAAAGTGGTCTGAGGTAAATAGGATTAAGGGAAATAAGGACAAATGCTGGACATAATTCAAAATGACCTTAGCAAGTTAGAGAAATGGTCAGAGGTAAACAGGATGAGGTTTAATAAGGAGAAATGCAGAGTGCTCCACTTAGGAAGGAACAATCAGTTCCATACATACAAGATGGGAAGCGACTGTCTAGGAAGGAGCATGGCGGAAAGGGATCTAGGGGTCATAGTGGACCACAAGTTGAATATGAGTCAACAGTGTGATGCTGTTGCCAAAAAAGCAAATATGATTCTAGGTTGTATTAACAGGTGTGTTGTAAGCAAAACTCGTGAAGTCATTCTGCCGCTCTACTCTGCGCTAGTTAGGCCTCAGCTGGAGTACTGTGTCCAGTTCTGGGCGCCACATTTCAAGCAAGATGTGGAGAAATTGGAAAGGGTACAGAGAAGAGCGACAAGAATGATTAAAGGTCTAGAGAAGCCTATGAAGCCAGGCTTCATGAACTGGGCTTGTTTAGTTTGGAAAAACGAAGATTAAGGGGGGACATGATAGTGGTTTTCAAATATCTAAAAGGGTGTCACAAGGAGGAAGGAGAAAATTTGTTTCTCTTGGTTTCTGAGGACAGGACAAGGAGTAATGGGCTTAAAGTGCAGCAGGGGAGGTTTAGATTGGACATTAGGAAAAAATTCCTAACTGTCAGGGTGGTCAAATATTGGAATAAATTGCCAAGGGAGGTGGTGGAATCTCCCTCTCTGGAGATATTTAAGAACAGGTTAGATAGACATCTGTCAGGGATGATGTAGACGGAGCTTGGTCCTGCCTTGAGGGCGGGGGGCTGGACTCGATGACCTCTTGAGGTTCCCTTCCAGTCCTATGATTCTATAAGAGCAACAAGAATAATGAAAGGTCTAGAGAACATCAGCTATGAAGGAAGACAGAAAGAATTGGGCTTGTTTAGTTTGGAAAGGAGAAGACAGAGCATGAAATAGCGCTTTTCAGGTATCTAAAGTGTCACAAGGAAGAGGGAAAAAATTGTTCTCCTTGGCCTCTGAGGATAGGACAAGAAGCGATGGGCTTAAACTGCAGCAAGGGAGGTTTAGGTTGGACATTAGGAAAAACTTCCAAACTGTCAGGGTAGGTAAACACTGGAATAAATTGCCCAAGGAGACTGTGGAATCTCCATCTCTGGAAATATTTAAGAGCAGGTTAGACAGACACCTATCAGGGATGGCAGGCAGTACTGGGTCCTGCCGTGAGGACAGGGGACTGGACTCGATCACCTGTCGAGCTCCCTTCCAGTTCTAGTGTTCTATGAAGTAATGTCTTAGTGCAAAACTGTCTTCAAAAGCTAAGGTTATCTACCTCTAAGAACTTGCAGGCTAGAAAACTGAGTTAAACACTTTTTGGCTAAAACACCTGTTTCTCAAATATGCATTTTTCCTTTTATGTTATACACATAAAACTGGTATTTAGCAACCATTAGTAGTAATCCTGTATAATAAAATTTGAAGCACAAGTCATTTAAATAGTTAGAGGACCCAGAAACACTGAGGTTAGCCCAGTAGTAACTGCCCTATTTAAAGTCTGTTAAAATACTTTAATGTGATCAGTTTGGGCTATGGAAAGAGGGCAAAGATCACAAATAATCCACTAGAAGGGAGAAAGTATTTTTAAAAATCATTTTTTATTTCAACACAACTAAGAATAAAAAACACATTATGAGGAAGATTTCTGCAGTATGTGAATCAGTCCAATGTTTTCCATTACAAAAGGTTATTAAAAGTCTTAGTTTACTTCATTACAGACCTTGGGTACAGTCAAGTCCATTTTCTTTTCCTGTTAAAGTGGTTGTCAAGTACATCTTACAGTCATTGATTGTCCTCAACTGGAGATGTTTACAGCTTCTATGAGGATTCAATACTAGGAAGCCACACAGAGTTAAACATTCAAGATGGTCTTTGCTTTCTTGGCAACTCCACAACCTCTCCTTAATAGCAGTGATCTACTGGGACAGATCCTCTCCCAAGCTCCCTTGTACCATCCTAAAGTTGCCATTAATAGGCCTTACCAGAGCAGGGGAAAGTGTTAATTGACAGAGTCCACTACTATGCCACCCTTTCCTGGCATAGTCACACACTTGAGGAAGGGATGGGCTCAGAACCTCCCACATTTTTAGAACTGCTTCAAACCATCATAATTTAAGAGTAGTCATGAGGCAGTACTAATTTCTGGTGCAAGCATTAGGGACTGAACAACGTCGCCATGTCTTAAAGTCACCTTGGTCAGCTCTTCACCCTGGCTGTCCTTTGCATTTGGCAAATGCTGAAAAGTTCTTTGAACTATTTTAGTTAATAATTCCAGCCTGTTCGTTTCTACTGAAAAGCAATTCAGTCTTTGTTATTTTTGTACTTAGGACACTACTAATTAACTGACCTTTCATTACAACCTGCCACACATTGCATAGAAGATGCTTTTTTAATATTACATTTATTAACTTCAGAGCACTGAAAGACTGCTTAATAGGTTTTTCTTGGGGGATCCTACAAGAGGAGCTAATACACTGAACTAATGGTTGTTTCATAGATAAAAGACTGGAGCATGATCTGTGATATTTCCACAATGTTGTTTCTTAATTAATTGAAAGCAGTCTGTTCATAGTTTTTGCTTGCAGAAATAGTACGTAATCATTCAAATGAAGATTTTTTTCCAGCCATCTATGAATCTTCTAAAAAGGTTTTAGAAGAGAAGGTTCAGTGGGCCTTATTACTACTTAGCTTGCTTATGTAAGTATTTAAAGCCTCCTTTGTGATATTCTGCAAGAAGTGCAAGAACCTCTCTTTAGGGACTCCCTTTATTCCCAGCATGGCTCATTTTTTCCATTATGCCCATCTCAGTTTTTGAAATTGTGTTGCACATTTAACTGCTTGATATTGAACTACAAATTCAGTGTGTAAGTATTCTACCCTGCTCCAAAAGGGTGAACAGGAGAAAAATAAGAACTTCGCTTCTCTATTAAATGGCTGAAGGAAAGGGGGGGGGGTTGTTTTCTCAGTTTATCACCTTCAATAGTTGCAATTTAAAATAAAAAGAAATAGTAGGAATAGTAGGATTAGTAATGTCTACACATGGCTCTTCACAGATTCAAAAAAGTAGGCAGTAAGGAAATGGGTTTCATTTCCGCTTCTGCACTGTGGTTAACTTCCTCGGTGCTCCACCAGTGTTCTCTTGGCTTTCCTTGGCATGGAAGACAAGGGCTTCTGGTCTCTTCAGCCTTTCAAAACTGTAGCATTCAACTTTTTCTTCAGTAGAGACTGTTCTGGTACTCACAAGGTGAAATCCTTCTTTAAGTAAAGTGTCAACCAGTAAGCCTAGAACATTAGTTCCATTAATCAGCTTTCTAGGATCGGGTTTTATAGAAACATACCTAGAGAAAGAGAGAAAAAAGTGTTAACCTTCTTGCAGGATGGAGCCATGTTTTTAACAGGCCAAATTTTCAGCTGATGTATAGGAGTATGACTCCACTGACTGCAAAAAAGCTGCACTGATTTACATTAGCCAAGAATCCAGGTTAATTTTCTAAATATATTAATTCTTTTCATTGTGAAAAGCACAGCTATTTGTTCTCAGTTTGACCAGTTATATTTTTTACTGAACAGGCACTTTGTTTTTCCACTATGAAGTCCACTTTCTCCTCACAAGTAGGAATGAGAAAGGTTAACCAGTAAGCATCACCCTAAAATGTAGCTTGATTAATCAAAGTCACCTGAACAGGTGACGCTTGCCAATTAACCTCTCATAGCCTGGATACCCAATGGGGGATGGAGCAGCTCCTTGTCCGCTATGAGAGGGGGCTGCTCCAGCCCTGTGGGACCTGCTGCAGACAGGGACTGCTCTGGGAGTCTGGCACTGCCCCATGTGTAGTGGCTAGTGCGCATCACAGGCAGGGGCTACTCCAGGCATCTGGAGCTACCTACTGGCAGTGGGCCTAGGAGGAGGACAGCCCACAAGCAGGGGCTGCTCCGACAGCGGCTGGGAGAGGAGGCGGCACTCCAGCCCCAGGTGGGCTGGAGTGCCCCCCTCTTAATTGCTTAACCAATTAAACAGGATTTTACATACCTATTTACAAGTGATCATAACTGTTTAATGGAGAGAAACTAAAGTCAATGCATAATGTACAACAGTTTCTCAGAGGAGAATAGTCAAACTGTGGCAAGAACAGCAAAATTGGGTTAATTTAAGTAACAGCACTATTCATTACAAAACACCTTGCTCTGCTAAGAGTTGTTTGCTCTGTTGTCTTGTACACAAACTTTTTTAGTAACAATTATGAAAGTTATTTACGCCTAAAGTAAATTAATTTGCAAAAATTCATCCAGATACTTCAAGGATGAAAGTAATGTCAAAATGCTGTTAAGACAGTAATGTAAATAATACTTCATGAACTATGGAGCAATTCTGTTAAAGATCTGCAAAAAGAACTAAGTTCTATATAATCACAAAAGATTGATTACAGAAGTTAATCATATAATCAAAACTGACTTGTAAGATTTTTTTCCTCTGCAGCTGAACAGAAAAATGTGGCTTGATTAATGAAAGTCAAAATAGAGGTTATAACTGAAATTAATTTCTCACTGTTTTTACCTTGTCACAACCTACACTGATTCAGTGTTAATCCAAAAAGCTGTAATAAATGGCATTTAAGCACTGCCTCATATGTGCTATGTGAGAAAGCCCAGGATGAGCTTCTTACAATTATACAGTTAAAGAAAGTCAAAAAAAGTCAAATATAAAGAAATCCTACTGATTTTTTTAACCCAACATTCTCTTAATTGTTTAATTCATATATTTTAAGAGAGAATAACCCTACCGGTACTATTTCAGTGAAGTGTCCATAAAAATCCAGGCATTCTAAGAGCCATGGAAGATAATATGGGAAAGAAGAACATAGGTTGAGACATTCCAAATGTATAATTAAAAAAAAAAAAAAATCACTCTTTAGAGCATTTAAAAACCATCAAGAACTATGTAATTAGAGGCTGACATGGCTAGCACAGAGGTCACTGATTTATCATTTAAAAAAAAAAAATCCATGGCAAGAGGACCAAACTCATGTAGTGTCTACAATTTTTATTCTACAAAGCAAAACCTTGCATTTACAGTTTGGGAACAAGATGAGTCCATCTTAACTCTGCCTTTATTTGCCATCTCCACAACGAAATCGTCCTCTCCTCCCATCCACAGCTTATTCCGTATTTATCTTGGATGAAGTTGTTGTGGGCAAGTTTTCCCATTTAGTCCTACTTTTCCAAGTTGGTGGGTTACAAGCACTATAGATGCTGTGGCAAAGTTCTGGTCGTGCCCCGTGGGTCTTGCACTACTCGTGGATAATATCAGCCTCAGAGACTCACTGTGGTTCTATACATGACCCATTTCTCTTCACAGGAGGCAGAGTCCACAGCTTAGTGAACCACACTCATCACAGGCTAGTCCATGGTTTTTGGGGTAAAAACTCAACAGAACCTGTTCCAAGAAGGGAGACCAGGACTGTGTTGGTGTGGGGGAGAGTTTGGGAGGAACCTGGGCCCTCCCACTACTCCAGCTTCCAGACCAGGGCCCCTAAAGTAGCAGCAGTAGTCAAGGTTGTTTTTCCCTTCTGACTTGGCAGCTTTTTCCCTGGGCTACTTCCAAACAATCCCTCCAAAATGTCTCCCTCTGATGCCTATTAGCCATCTCTCAGCTCACACACAGCTTCTTCTTGTTCCTCCCTTTCTCCTTCCAGTCCATCACTCTTTGTCTTCCCCCCTCTCCTTACCTAGGGGAGGCCTTTTAAAACAACTCCACTGGCTCTAATTAGCTGCAGGTGTTAAGTGACTTGCCTGAGGGAGCAATCTAATTAATTAGCCCCAGGTGTTTTCCTGCCTTCATTTTAGTGCAGCAGGCTCTAGTAGTTTATTCTGGAAAGAGAAAACCACTTATCCAGTGCCCTGTATACCTGCCTTCCACCAGTGTGGCAGGCTGCTGGCTTAGGTCTGTCATAATGCTTATGAGCACTAGATAATGGCATATTAAACTCATAATTTTCAAAACTTGTATTAACCCACATTCAGACTTAACCACCCCACCAGCCTGAATTCACAGTCATTGCCAGTCAACATCCGTGCTAACCTTCACTCAAGAGAAATCAGCTTCCTTCTTTCCTCAGAAAGAAGTTACCTGGAATTCTCTGAGTTAATCTCTTTTTGAGATGTTTAAGATAAAATATGTTTCTACCCATTAGTAATCGTTTCTGCCAATTAGGAACATCTTCCGTGATTGCCCATTACTTCAGACAACTCACAGACTTCATTTTCAGTGATCAAACATTCTGGCTACTACAGGCAAAGTGAACCCATTATTATATCATTAGGCTGACAGAACAGGGAGGCAATTATATTTGGGATAAACAGTAGGCTATAAGCAGAGAATCAAGAATACAAAATAGTACTTGCTGGCAAGTGATTCTTTTCCTCTACTATACTTTAATTGTGCATTTTCCAATAGTTTCCAGATGTGACTCAGCCATGCCATTGGACAATCACCTCAGAAATATAGAAAGAGCAAAAGGTGAGAGGAAGGTCAAATTAATGAGGAGAATAACAGGTTTTAAAAAAAAACATTAAAAGTTAAGGAAACTTACAAGAAGTTAGATCAGTATAACAGGAATTAAATCAGTCACCTCTTGGCATTGAGCCATCAATTGATTATTCAATGATCTCATTACACTCTAGCAAATTGTATGTATTTTATGAAGGAGAAATCTTGGAATTATTTCAAGAAAGAAAAAACACAAAAAGGTGAGTACCTTGCCACCAGCTGGTCACCAGCAGAATAGTCAGTGCCACATTGAAAAACCAGGTCATGATGAGACGGTCTCTCCAAAGGGAGTGGAGTGAGTTGTTTCAGAGAAGGAAAAGTATCATTACTCCATTTCCATCTTAAAGACTGCTCTGTAAACATAGTGACCCATCCAGCCAGTACCTCAATAGTATTGCTGCAAGAGCCAAAGACTCGGAAGAAAGCCTGAGTTTCCTGGAGCAAGAAGCGCACTTCCAAGATCTCTGGTCTCGGCTTCAGCAAGTTTTCCTGGTTCAGAAGCTCAGCCAGGGAATGAAGCTCATAGAAGTCTGCTTCTCTTTGCAGCCTCTGATAGTCTGAAAAGTCAGTGGGTAGAGAAACCTGGAGTGTCCTCAAAAAATCTAGGATGTAATTAAACAAAGTTCCATCTCTGTCCACAAAGAATTGTCCATTCACCAGCCTGAATTCGTGGTCATTGCCATTCAACATCCGTGCTAACCTGGACTCTGGGAACTTCTGCAGGGTGGAAGCCCGTGTTGTAAATTTCAAACCTCCCACATTCAGGGTGGCCACTTCTTGACTGCTCATATTGGTGGAGACACAATCAAAGATTATAACGCTGACCTGTATCTTTCAAACCAAACTATTTCTAAAATGAAAAATCAACTGGGGACCGTAAGTACCATTCAGTGATCTTACTGCATGTTTGCAGTGAGGTGTGTAGCCACTAGTAAGGTTCCCAGGCAACAAGAGTAAATACAAGTTAGGATAGCCATTTTCAGATCCTGGTTGCTTGGGAACTTGGACTCTCGAAATAAAAAACAGCTTCCGAAGACTGTTGAAATATGGCTGACTGACAATGAACTCCAAGTTTAGAAAAACACTGACAAAAACCCAAGAACAATACTCAGAAGCAAAACATTCAGTATACGAATTTTACAGAATCATAAGGTGATTTCATTTCTATATTGCTGTGGGTGACCCACTGCTGAATGTATTTAATGGTAAGAACTAACTGCAGTCATGCTCTGAAATGAAAACAGTTCAAAGAAGCTGAAAGTGTATTCCATTAAATGCTCCTGTTCTGAAATGCTTCAGTGATAAATGTTTGTATGAAATAAGAGATATGGTCTGTTGTATCATTTCTTTAGGTGTTCGTTATGCCATGAAACTCACTGAACTAAATTCTTCCCTGGTGCACAACGGCCACTGAGTAAGTTTACCGCAGTTGAAGATGCAATTGCCATATGGGCTGACATACCCACATTAGCTTTAATTCAACTAGTAGTATTGAGAACAGCAATGAAGTCACAGTACCACAAATTTTAGTTGAAGCTGTACAAGTCTGCCAGGAATCCTAGATACATACTCATATTGCTGACCTGCACTGATGCCCATGCTGCCATGTCATCACTTATTTTTAGATGTGCTGCCTTTAATCTAGCTAGCACATGTATGTCAACCCATGCTCCAACTACAGAGAAGAGATAAAGAGCAGTACTCACCTCAGGACTAAGGAATCTTCTAACACAAGAAAATGGCCAACATTAATGGATATGATTATACAGCAGGATTATAAGCAGCACCCCATCTCTCCAGATGTTGAAATTATGACCAACTGATGTGGAGAGCCAGAGAAGAGAAGATCCCCTCTCCACCAGCCTCACACTGTTGGAAAGATTGTGTCGTTTGAGGGACGTTCACTTCGTGACTGTTAGAAGAATAGATTTTTCATTCTTGTACCTCATAGAAAGCTATAAAACTGTTCTTACTTTGAGGGAAAGGGAGTGGAGATAACTCCCTAGTCCATCCATTCATCATATACTTTACTCTCGCTTATAAGCTGCACTGTAGCCTCAATTGTGAGCGACTGTTTGTATTTCCCAACAGTGAGCTTAAATTTACATTAGAGACATTTTTAGAATGCAAGAGGCTTTTTAAAAAAAAAACAAAAAAAAACACCAAAATGTTATTGCACAGCACATAAAAGGGCACCTTGCAGCTTATTTTGCCCCACTCACTTCCACATGTTTCTCTTTCATGCTGCAATTTGTTCAAGACGACTGCCCTGAAGACTTTTTTATAAACCCTGTAATATCCAATTTATCTATAGTACTCTGAATATCAGAATGAGGCATCAGTGAAATTTAATATCTGGTATTTTGAAATGGCTGGCCAGTCTTAGGCAAACTTTACAGCCTACCTCTCCTGGCGATCAGGAGCATCCTTCTTAATTTCAAACAACTTCCCGTAACAACAACAACAACAAAGGTTGATGCATTGAAGGACCAGCAGTTTTTACAATAGGACATTAAAAAAAAAATCACTCAGTTATATTAATATTTGACTATATATACACATTGTTAGTTTTGCCTTACATTTTGGTCAGAGCAAAGAAATGCATTATTAAAAAAAAAAAAAAAAAAAACACATTTTGAAACAAGCTCTCAGAAGCAAAGGTATAGTTTTCCAAAGTTTGGTTTCACTTTCAGCATACCAGTGCTAGAGCTATATGAACAACAACTCCTCCAGAAACATTCTGAGTCTTATATGCTTCCATCAGAAGTCAGAGATTTTGAAGGTTTTTTTTAAACTGTTTTCTACACCTGAGTTCCAGTCATTTCTCGGGCATCTTAATCTGTGCTTTTATGTTGCATTTTATAATAGTTTATACTTGCACACAAATTGTGCAACATTATCCAATACTACTAGTGTATAATTTTTGCACTTTTCACTTAGAAGAAAAGCTCCATCTGTCATTTGCTCCCAATAGAACACTGCATGATCAGCTATAACCACAGTATCTGCCAGGTAGGATGACCCAATTGTAAAGAGTTGAGTTTTCCAGCACTGAAGATTGTCAAAGACAGATTCTACAAAGGTCATTCTGGTAACTCCAAGGAGAAATAAGCAAATCAGAGAAGTCACTATAAATCTGTGTGAAAAGACTGAGGGAATCTTGAAATTAAGTGTACTGTTTTCCTGAGGCAAAGAAAGCTTGTCCACATCTATTAGTTTTACACCATCCCATTGGCTGGTATCAAAGCTTTTTATTGTAGGGTTGATGACTACACTGGAACAAGGCAAAGGGGTTTCCTTAATCACTTTGATTTTTTCCCTGAACTCCTGCATCTGTTGCAGAAATATAATGGGCTCAGATACATCCTTAAAAGCTTCTGCAATGTTAAAAGCCATTCGTTGCTCTTGTAGAATGGTGTTTAATTTATTGATTTCTGGGTCATATGCCTGCATCACAGCAAGCTTCATGGTCTCAAAGTCAGACAGAATCTCATTTCTTTTCTGCTCCAGTGTGTGCTGCAGTTTATCAAAGAACTCTTTCACTTTGTCAGAATCCTTTGTCAGCATCTGGAGTGCTTTCCTCTTGCTTGTTTCCAAGGTGTCCAGCCGGGAGAGTGCATCCCCACAACGCCATGTTTCAAAGCCCTGAAACAGAGTCTCAAAAGCACGCTTCTCTTGGGAATAGGCATCTTCAATGGAGCAAAATACATGCTTTGTGTGGTCACCTCGAGTAGCACAGATACCACATATCAGCTGCATATCTGTGCGGCAGAAAATGTTGAGGGGCTGCCCACTGTGTACCTTACACATAGGCATTTTGGGAGTTACTTTTATTTTGTTATACTTCTCCACTATACCTTTCAGGGAGTAGTTGACTTGTAAATTGTTGATTCCTGTAACAGGCGTCTCCTTCCGGCAGGTAGGACACTTGAAAAGGGGAGGTGGTCTCCAAACCACACTCCGGACATTTCCCTCTAGGATTCCCTCCAAACACTTCTTGCAAAAGTTGTGAGAACAAGGTAAAACCCGAGGATCATCAAACAAGCCACAACAAATGGGACAGGTGAGGTCTTCCTCTAAGAGCTCCATCACATCCTATGGAAAGAAGGGGAAAAATATTATAGGGAAAAGTAACTTCTATTTGAGACAAGCTTAGTATGGCTTGCACTGGCTGACAAAAGGCTTTTTTACCAAGGAATTTCAAGATGGGATCTTAGCTGGGCTAATATGCATATTGTGCACACGCAACCAGTTCAGCCACAAATCAGGGAACTCTACTAATTGCTTAAGTATGTTCTAGTATCTGATCAGACAAAAGTTGCTCAGTATCAAAGCAAAAATCAGATTCACAGACTTAGCATAAACACTGAAAAGAAATGTTAACTAAACCTGACAGTGGTCTTTCATATCTGCTGAAAATGATTTGACTACTAATTCAACACGTAAGCCTTACAGCAGTGATGCAATATTCAGAGATTGATTTGATCTGTTTTGTAAAATTTCAATATGGCAAAATTAAAATTGAACCAGAAACTATTAGATTTCACTTCCACAACAAATACAGAATTGGTTTTAAAGAATATATATGCCTCAAACATTGTCACTTTTGGGCAGAAGGGGAAAGCAATATTAAAGGTGACAGAGTAAAACATTGGAATTTCCTCAAGTTTATCAGAGTTTGTTAAATATCCCTTTCAGCAGGCCAAACCCAAAGGCCATTCCGCATTTGTTTAATCTTAGTTTAAGAAATGTGGGTGCAGGGAAGAAAGCTGCCTGAATGATCTTTACCTTGCTACTGGGATATGCAGCAAAAAGATGAAATACTGTAAGAACTGGAAGTAATTCTTAAAAACTACTGAAGTAAAAATAATGTATAATGATCCATTTTTTATTACACAATCTGTATTTCTAGAGCCAACATCTCAATATGTTTTAATTATGGCAATTTCTTTTTTGTGTGGGCATGCGATTTATCAAAAGAAAAATTTGAGACTTATCTTTTATTGCAGTAGCCCCTAAATGCCCCAGTAAGGGATCAAGCCCATTATGCTGAGCACTGAACGCATGTATCAGAAACCAGTTCTCTGGTGCAGAGATCTTACAGTTTTAGTATGTGAAATAAGATAACAGATGGATACTAAGGAGGTAAAATCCCATTTAATTGGTTTAACGGTTAAACATAGCTCTAACACTACATTTAACCGATTAAAAGGGCTTGGGGAGCAGCTCCAGCAGGGCTGGTGTGGAACTGCTGTCCACTGCAGTTGGGCTTCAGTAGCCCCTGCTACAGGCTGCTCCTGGGCATCAGTTAAGGGGGATGCTTATTGGGTAATCGTTTAACCGGTTACCTATTAACATCCCTAATGGATACCTATAGGGGTGAAAAATTAGATTTGGCAGACCTGCAAACCCAATTAGTTTGAAGACAGAAGTTAAAAATACTTTGTGAAAACTAAATGAAACAATAATTCCCCCATTTTTAACAGCATATTACCATTTAGTCATATTGGTAATGTTAGTCATAAATAATAGGCTCTCCTTAATTCTCATAAGGTGTTACCAGACAAGCTACTAGACGGTTAACACAGACAAGAAAGTGGTTTAAAAGAGAGATAGGAAGAACCCTTCAGAGGGAGACTGAGGATACCAGTAGGTACATGGAACACAGAAAGTGCATTGGAAGAAGAGGAAGAAGTGTAAGATGACCAAAAGAAAGCTTTCACCACAAGGTAGATACTGGCTGCAACAAAATAAAGAAAAACTCAGAGGGTACAATCAACCCCCAGATTCATTTGTCCAAATACCAGAGATGTGCTTATAGATAAGCGGGGTTTGAAAAAAAAAACGCACTAGACTTTTATTCAGCCAGAAAACTAAACAAAAGTCCCAAAGCCTAAGGGAAATGCCATACTGAGGAGTCCTGCCAGCTCCATTCTCAGCCACTGGAATACCTAATAGAGTGTTGAGGAGTCCTGTGGCACCTTATAGACTAACTGAAGTGTAGGAGCATAAGCTTTCGTGGGCAAAGACCCACTTCGTCAGATGCATGCATCTGACGAAGTGGGTCTTTGCCCACGAAAGCTTATGCTCCTACACTTCAGTTAGTCTATAAGGTGCCACAGGACTCCTCGTCGCTTTTGCAGATTCAGACTAACACGGCTACCCCTCTGATAATAGAGTGTTGTCTCCGTATCTGATTCAAGGACTCCATTTTCACACACAATAGTACTAATATTGGCTGTTCATTAGGGATGTAAACTGTCATTTAAACAATTAATTGGTTAAACATCATGTTTAATTGGTTAGCTGCAGGCAGGGGACTGCTCCAGCCAGGCCACTAGTTAACTGGTTACCAGTAAACATCACCAGGTGAGGGTAATGCCAACCGGTTACCCCTTTACCACCCTACTGTTTATACCAAACAGTCTACCTCCCTTATTTCTGATCTTTCAGGAAGCCATTTATGACTTCTGTGAAAGCATGTGATTTTTTTTTTTTTTTTTTTTTTACAAAAAAAGCTTACGACCTTATTTTGCCCCTCTTCCTCAAGTGGATGCCAGTAATAGTAACATTAGAAATCTAGGAGTGTTCACATGAGAGAGGGGGATATGTCTACACCAAACTGTGAACTCCAGTTTGCACTGCAATCTTCATTTTGGATTAAACATACATTTCATCTTAAAGGCTTGGCACTTAGTTAAAGAATATCTTTGAGAAGCTATCAGAGCCACCGCCATCATGTCTGACTTCTGTCCCATCATCATGCAACAATAGACTGTCTACACAGAAGCCTGATGTGAAGAAGGGGCTAGAACTTCCAAGCTAGAGCATATGGGCAAAAAAGGACAGAAGCTTTATGGGTTCAGGGTGATTGTTCTTGGAGCAAGGAAGCTATCCGCATGGCAGAAGACTGGGCTGAAATATGAGAAAGTGGGAGGACTCTGCCTTGCCTGTTGATCATACCAAACTCACTGAAGAAACAAGACTGAACTAACAGGGTGGGGGAGTGCACCTTAGTTCCAGGTTCTTGTTTTTCAAAGTTATGCAACTCTTGCACTTTCTGGAAAAGAATAGCAACCCTGGTTAAGAAATTCCTTTGCAAAACCTGTATTCCACCATGCTTACATGACATACAGTAACCTCTTCAGGGACAGGAAACTCACAGCACCTATAGTAAAGTGGAACTGTGAGAGTGGGAGTAAAAACAAACAGTGGCTAAGTAGGGCTCAGGCACTGGAATCTGAGGCAGCCAGGTTTCAGAATTCCATGCCCCAAAAATAGGTGTCAGTGACAAGAACTGCACCTGAGGTTTGCCTTAGAGCAGGCCTGGGCAAAATACGGCCTGTGGGTCGCATCCAGCCCACCAGGTCACCAGATCAGGTCTGCAGATGCAGCTGGAGGCCCTAGGCAGGCTGCTCTGCACACCGCTCAGAAAAGTGGCTGGGGGGGGGCATTTCTCTTAAAAACTGAGCCCAGAGGGGAAGGCTTCAGGTGTAACTCCCGCCACCAGCACAATCCCATTGGCTGCCTTCTGATCAGAAACTGGCCAATGGGAGCTGCCTATTTGAGTAACAGGCAGCACATGAAGCATCCCTCCTCCTGGCTCAGTTATTCACACAAGCACATCATGGGGGGGAGGGGCAGGCAGGGGGAGAAACTTTTTTAGCCCTGGACGCAGGTTGGGTTGCTGGGTGGCAAGTCTCCTAGCCAGAGCCTGCCTCTGGCACCCCATCCCCTCTCTTCCTCAACCCTCTGCCCTCCCCACCACTCAACATACCCAAACCCCGTGTCCCCCTCCTGCAGCCATATCCCCTCCCAGATCTGGCATCCCAATTACCTGCCCCAGATCACAATTCCCTCCTATTCTAGGTTACAACCCAAACTCTTGCACCCCGGTCCTGTCCTGGGTCACAACTGCCTCCTTCACTGAAACTCCCTCCCAGACCGCACTCTCCTTCCTGCATCCCAATCCCTTATCCCCAAGATCCCTACTGTACCCAACCTTCATCCCAGACCCTGCATCTCCTCCATTAATATCATGGAAGAGTGTGGCCCTTGACCACTTTCCAAAATCTAGGACTGTCCTCCCATCAAAAATTATTGCCCACTCCTGCCTTAGAGACCCTGACCTAGGAACGTACGTGACTATTTCAACTCAGAGGCTGTAGCAGCATTTGATCCTGGGGTAGAATCTACTCAAAACAGATTAACACTTAAGTAGAGAAAGTAACTGGGTCACTTGTGACAACTTGTACAAAGTATGGAACAGACTGATTTGAGAATCAATGAGTTTTCCTTCAGTAAAACTAAAGTTGTATTCTCAAGGGAGCTATTCGATCTCTATAGCTTTGAAATCCAAAAGATGTTAGCTACAGAACAAAGCAAGCCTTTTAGCTTTCCATTCACAATGAAGATGTGCAAAACAAGTCCAAGTAAACACAAAACAATGGCCTAATTCCTCATCCCAAATATTCTCTCTGAAGAAAACAGAACAAATTACTCTAGTCTGTTTCTAGATGATGGCTTATCAGCTAAGTAGCAGGAAACAAGGTAAAGCAGTGATGGGCAGCCAAGGCTAGTGAGTGGGCCACATGAGTGGCCCTCTATTTCAGGGGATTGCAAGATTGAAATCAGTCATGTGCACTAACCATGACCCCAAGATTAAATAAATTAATACGGGGCAGGCCAGATGTTTCAAGACAAGAAGAAATGCTTTAATCACTCATATAATATTACAAATATCATTAGCTTCAAATCATTAAAAAAGTTCACACTTTAAAACAGAGGTTGAACCTACTTGGTCCTGCACCCTTGGGACTTCACCAGTCCCAAACCAGGGAATTTGCCAGACCAGGGGAGGACCCCTGTGACTGCCCTCCCAATCCGCCATCCCCCTCGTGACCCATGCTGCCCCTGGACTAGGGCTCCAGCCCGGCCCTGCAGCTGCCAGGCTCCAGACCCAGCCCCCTGCTGCTGGCCCAGCCAAAGCTCCAGGCAGAGGCC